TGTTTGTTTTTACAGAAGAGGGAAGAGATTTCACAAACCAGGGAAGTGACTCCTTTGTATTCTTTACCTTCATCACAAGAGGGTGACATTGCTTTATTAGTAAATTGCATTGATATCCTGAATAAAAGATGCTATAGGAAAACATTGAAACATATTTTTGCTACCCATGCCCTGGCAATAACCACTGATCCTAGTGGCTTGTTTTAACCCTCTTTTTAAATTTAGCATCATTGTAGTCTCTTTGTGCTGTGAGCAGCAATATTTAAGACCTCATTAAATCTGTGACCTTGCAGTTAACCTGTTAGCTCACTGCTGTGGCGCATTCCTTCCCTGTCACGGGTCTGGAATGGGAGGATTTAAGCACTGGAGGTCACTATATTATCACCTTCAACATTCACCACCTTGGGTGTTGTGGGGGTGTGGGTGAGGGAAATAAATAATACAGAGAAACACCAAGCTCAGGACAGAGGCACAGGCTTCAAGAGAGCATAAATGCACCATTTTTTTGTTTTTGCAGGCAGTCTTACTGATGCCCTGCTATTCAACATATTCTAGGCAAACAGCCTAGAATCTCTCTAGTCAGTAGAGCCAGATATCCAGAAAGAGATTACAGATCTGGCCATAGACAGAATATGCGTTTTAGGAGGGACTTGCAGTTTAAAGCGTCCTGCAGTGTTTGGTGACAATGTATTTAGTGGTTTTATTAAACCTCAGTGGCCCTCATTCTCCTCGCATTCCACTAGCTTACTCTGCTTTTCTTTACCCATCATGTTTTAGCCTTGTTTACAATAAAGAACAAGCGAACAGCAACTTAACAGTGTTCCTGAAATTCATCACTGTAAGATGAATTAAGAGTTGTGATTTTTTTTAAAAGAACTATACAACTGCCAAAATTAACAGCCAATGAGACATAGTTCTGTCTGATGGTCCATGACAATAAACAGTTACAACAGAGTATAGAAGTCGCTGGAGAATAATGTTCTAGTGCAGTGCCAAGGCAAAAAGTCTTCTATCCTGGACCCTTCACATGCCTTAGCTTGAGTGACAGCTGTACACCACCATAGAAATTGCCCTAATTTTTGTCATCCTGAAAGACAGTTCCCCATTCCCATACACCGCACGACAAGCCTTGGATACTCTAATTAGCAACTGTTAAAAAAAAGCCTGAAATCCTGAGGGGTCGTTGTACATTATGAAAAAAAACACAGACTAAAAAAAAAATGCTAAAGCCATTTTGTAGCCTGTGGCCTACTCTCCTCATGCTCTGATCCCTTGACTGGCAGCCCTTGACAGGCAGCACTACCAAATGCCACCACCACAGATAGGCACTGTTTTCCTTAAAACACACATAGGTGTGGAAAGCATGAGGCGCGCGCCTCGCCCTCGAGCCCTGCTAGCAGCAGCCCTGTCAAGGCTGTCAGCACATAATCAACCTGTCTGCAGCAGGTGTACTTCGTACACCACATGAGTCACCAGATTATCCGCCCACGGCCACTAACCAAAAGGGGTGGGAATATGAAGCCTCTTGCATAGTTTCTCGTGGTCATAAGTATTTATCTTCAGCAGACATCTGGAGGGAATGACATGACAAATCATGCTCAAACCATGATAAACGTAAGGGGGCCTGAGACTGGGGAAACAGGTGACCCCGAAGACCCGTGAGTGTTTTCTGGAAGAGCAGGAGATTGAGCATTAGGTGACATCAGCAGATGAGCCAGGTTAGAGCTGGTCCAGCTGTACAGGCAGGGAGCTCCCAGGCTTAGCAGCACCATGTTGTGATTGGTCCTGAGGGGTTCACTACAGCAACAGAGCTCCAGTTTCCATATGGGTGAGTGTGTGTTTGTGCAGTCCAGCTTTATTTAGCACTTTGTTGAAAAAAAATGGCAGAGTTTGCCAAGTCAACCTTTACCAGACAGGAAGCAGTGCTGTGCTAGGAGATCAACAATCAGGGCTATGTAGAGCAACTGCTGGGGAACAGATGGGCACATGCCTGGCCATCCAGAGGCACCCATGGTGTTTCGTCCCCTGACACACCATTTCCTCGACAGAGCAATCAGCAGTGCGCGTCTGAGTGGACACACGTGCAGCAGCATATGCTGTCTTGGCCAAACATGGCGCAAGGTGGATGAGTCTGCTGTGGCTGTGGGAGAAGCAGCATGGGATCATCCTTCTAACATTGCTCATGGTCTTAGGACAGGCACTGCTTTCATCCCTGGCTGTGCACCCAGCCATGCTGTCCGTGGGAATTTCAGCAGCCTTCTGCTCTGGTGTGCACATGGGTGCCAGCCTGGCAGTGTGGTCGGCACGGGAGAAACTACCACCTCCTGCCTACACCGCTGAGGCACGTTGTGCTTTGGGGACATGGTGTCCGGGGCTCTGCAGCAACACATGCGGATACCGGCTCCAGCACGTGGTCCCGTGGGATGCATCCTTTGGTGAGAGGAGCCAATGTGTGGAGGGCTTCCTGCCACCACCATTCCAAGCCTTTCCATGAAGCCCCTCAGATGCCCTCACTAACCAAAGCAAGAAGGGTCCAGAGTGTTTGGAGGGTGCCATTGGGATGGCCCTAGGGGACAGCAGAGCTGTGAGCTCTGTGTGGACCTGAGAAGCAGCTGCAAGGAGAAACTCCAGCAATGGGACCCAGCAGCAGGCGCCCCCACAGTGTGCCCGATTTCATGTTTTCCTTCAATCTCCTACTTCTGCCAGCACACATATGCTCCCTTTCGTGGACCAGAATGAGCATCAGGGCATTTCCTTTAATAGCATTTAGAAGTGGGAAGAAATTTGCAGCTTGAACCCATAACCGATGTATATCGTACATTTAGGATTAGTTGGTGCACTGAGCACCTTTAAAAAGTGTGCTTACATGCCAAATACAGCCTGCACCAAGGAAACACTGCATGATTTTTGCTGTATGTCTTCCAGAAAGATGCACTATTTCCTCTGAGACGGGCAAGCAACACACGACTCCCACAGGCACTTTTGCTATTAAAAAGGATGTATTAGTGTCATGGCTAAACCTGGTGCTTGTGCCACAACTGACACTCAAGGGCTCTGATGAGTCAAATGCCAAAAAGAAAGGTTGTTTTTTATTATTATTACTATTTCTGTGTGTTTTTTTCCGGGGAGGCGGGACGGGCAGTTACAGCGCGGGCTCTTCCCCAGCTCCTCTCGGGGCTCGCACCGCGCCGCCCTCCCGCCGCGCCCTTACTCAAGATGGCCGCCAGTCTCCCCCGTGCCTCAAACGGGCCACGAAGTCGTCGAGCTGCGGGGGAGGAGT